TCGGGAAACAATCCCGCTCCGCTTTTTAACATCTGTTGAAACTGTTTTCAATTTGCGCTCGTGAGAGATAAAGTCGATTGTCTGTCGAGTGGTCGTCCATGAATAACAAATTTACATACTTTGGGACCTGATAACCGAGCATGTAACTTCTTATATACCTTATCCTGCAAACAGGTAATGAGAATACACAAACTTATCAAATAAAAGTTGTTATCTTGATCTAACACCAAATTCTCGTAACTAATTTACAAGGACTGATGTGTAGCAATTTTCAGAACTTGGGTGTTAAAAGGATGACAGCTTTTTGATATTATTCGTCATAAACATGCAGCATATAGCACTGGCGAATGTCACGAGATGAATAAGTGACGTTATCTGCTAAAAGCCGGAAACGGAAATTCTTGTTCCACTGCTTGGCTTATAAAGAAAGGTGAAAGGAAAATTTTAGATGGAAAGCGAAGATGTTCAAAACTCGATTAAGAGAAGTGATATTCAAAAAGTAGAAACAAACAAACGATTCCACTGAACTAATGGATCCCATTGCAATTTAGATTGAACATGATAGCGGCCACAAGGCCTTTTCTAAAAGCAATGAAGACTAAACACCATTAACAGGCAGACAATAATTTGGTTCCATTTCGATGGTGTACTCTCAGAAAAGAATAACTAGTTGAAACATATAGGTGTTAGCTCCCGCGGGCAAGATGAAGCGAAGCCTATGTTCTGATTGGCTACCCGAGCGGGCAAGCTTAGTCAATAACGTATACATAACTATGACACTGAAGCAATATTTAGCAGCCACGGGATATTCAACCGCCTAATTTTGATCGAAGGTGTTGTGTTAGGACAGAAGTAAAATGTAGGAAGCAACATTGAAAAAATATGATTAAATAATTTTGACCTTGTTAATTTTTGAAGTCAACACTTTTGTTATTGACCCTGATGCGAGTTAATGTCAGAAAACTGACGAAGCCAGCGTTTTCATTTGAATGGCATCATAGACTCCAAGTCTCTGGAGAGATCCATGAAGGCATGCAGCCAGTTATAATTACAAAGCAGATGTGACTGCGACATAGTGGTCGCCATGCGCCATTGCATATATTGGTTCGAAATTCAGTCGTTCTTAATTTAGCATTTATCGCAGTCAAGCGCGCAGTTCGAGGGATCGCCTGTTCACTGATTAGTCACGAAAAAAAGGAGTGAATTTAAGGTAAGCGAAACTGTGAACGAGAATATCAATTTTCTTTGTCTCAGAACTCTTGTGTTTCAAAATCATAGTATTGTATTAAAATTCAAGCCATTAGAATGCAAAAGCGGAATTTATCATAAACAACTACACTTGATCAAGTTCTAGATTTCTCTACAAGATTAGCGAAGCCGGTTAAGGAAGGTTCCAGTCGAATGTCTTGAGGCTTTGCATTAAAGAGATTTATCTACGATGAAGTTGAAACAATTATACATGTATTGCTTTTTGGTTCTGTATTTCGGCTCCTATATCCATGTTATATTACTGTTGGCGTTTCGATGACTTTTTCTCGCCCGTTCAGCACTCAGTCAGTCTTTAAGCTATCAGTTACTTATTAAGCTTTTTCTGTTTTCAAATTGAATCGGCTCATGATTGGAAAATCTCATTTACGCTTGAACCTGAATTTATAATTCTCGTTCCGAGAATGGCAATATAAAATCAACATTCATTATTTTGATAACCACTGGCGACGTTGACAATGAATCAGTACTAAGAGCAACAGCATGAGATTTTCTTTTAAACGACAAATCAATTAGCCAAAATCTAGAATTTTCGGTGGGGAGTCGTTGTATTGCTAACTAAGTAAGGACACATGTATAGACTCAATGACATGCTAAGTATGAAATGTCACCCCAAAACAGTTTCGATATTTTGAGTTGACGTTTAAGATGGACCACAATTATCGTTAATCAAATGGGATAAAACCTCTAGGAAATCGTTTCCAAGTTAGGCAAACATCCGAAGGGGCAAGAACAAACATAAAGGAAAGAAGGAGAAAATTGATTAACAATCAAACGCACATCAGGTTTTGTATAAATTAATTTCACGACACTCCGAGCTTGCCCTCTTTTAATACTTAATACTTAAAAAATTTTGTACACAGTCACTCATTGTCCCAAAAAAAAGCCTTAGTTAATTAAGGTTTTGGTCTAGGGTTAGTCTAAAGTTAACCTTGACTTTTTCTGCAAACAAATAACAGTTTTACTCTCCCAAAACATTTTCTAGTAATCGACGAAAGTATTATTATTGACACCCAGCTTTTTACCGCCGTGATGACCGCAACCTTACTATGTAAAGATCACGTTTCTTCTCTCTCTTTACAAAATATTTTGTTGAGGCGACATGTTGCAGGTTTTATCTGATTGAAGGTGATTCAGAAACCTCTAATACTGCCAGCGTTTATGAATATTGGCCTAAAACTCGTGTCGTGTGACATTTGGTTGCTCTTGAGGTTATTCGTAACGGTTAGATTGCCTTGAGTAACGTTACGTAGGCCACAATGCAACAGCCCTTTTAAAAAACATGTAAATTTTTCCGCGAAATATTGTCACGTCACGGCACGTCGAATTTTTAACCTTTTCACGGCCAACATCGCCCTTACTGTCTGCGATACAATTCCCATGATGTTGGTTCAGAGAATTTGGTATTAGGTCAACTAATAATCCCCTAAATTGATATTTTTGTGTACTAATTCTCATCACTTGTCTGCTTATATTGTATTGATATTTTAAGAAAATCCGTCGTGGTTACTCTTGGAGTTTATCGATTAAAGTCACTTAAACATGCGATTGCGGGCCTAGTCCAGTTAGCCTTAACCTTAATAAATAAAAAGTGCAAGGAAACAATCTTTATGATTTTCGACTCTTAGCTTTGCTAAACTTATAGCATGACATATGTAATCCTATTTATGGTTTGATGCTCTCAACATGGTGAAATCTAACAGATGTAAAATTTGAGGATAACTAGCAAAAATATCAAAATGCTAGCGCTTGTGTACGAAGAGGGTACCCTATACCCTTTTCAAAACTCAGTCACGTAAAAATATTTGGCCGTTACGAACAATATTCAAACTTCGTTCTCATAAACGCGAAATTTTAGGCGATAACGTTTCACATAAAAATAAAAAGTCACTTTCATGAATTGATAATTTTACTTTTTTCTAGACACAGTACGTAATGACTGACTTTGAATTATATTTCTAAAGTTGTGACACGAAAGGACAAATGTCTCTCGAAAATGGAATAAAGGAAGGTTTCGGAATTCGTGAATGAATTTTTGGACTTTTGCCAAAGGTTTCGACGCGAGATGTAGAAGTCGATGTAAGTGTCCACAGTGCACATTGAAATTACAGCGGTTATTCCCGCAAAAAGAGAAACAAGCTTTGAGTTGTTCTCGTGAAATAAGCGTCCATATAGAAAATTACTCTCGCATTGGGACTCTTCGAGCTTTCTACAGGTAAGGAACAGTGTTTAGATAAACTGACCACACAAATAATTCTTCCTAACACGAGTTCTTTGCAGATAGAATTAAAGAAGAATAATTTGCGATGTGAGTCGACGGCTAAATGCTAAATTTACCTGAAGTGGTTGGTAGTTAAAATAAGATGAGACCACCTGTAAGAGAAATTTGAATATCAAGCTCTCTCACGGCATTTGTTTTTGATATCCCGGTTCACTGCAACGCAAACATTCGGCTCTAAATGTTTTATCTCTGTTCAGCTGTTAACCAGTGAAAATCGAATTTTCGTAAGTTTTAGTCAAAAAGTTTTCGCATTTCACTTCTGCTGAACGTTTTGATTAATTCTCTTCCGAGATAATGTCAACGTACATGAAAATAAAACTGGAAGCGTTACAAGTGTTTGCACACTCTCGTCAATTATTGAATACGTGAACGGCGTATTTAGTCTTCAAGCAAAGCAGTCGTTCATAATAACTCGCCGACAAATCAGCGCTCGTACAGCGTACATCGAAAAGTAAAGAACCAACATGCGCGAAGCTATGTATTTGTCTTTCTATTTGACCCATATAAGATATCAACGAGCACTGATTGCGTCGGGTATGCGCGGTGTAACGTGTTATCAATTACAGGCTGACTTTAATTATGATATAGCTGAAATCGTAATACACTGTGTGCGAGATCTGTTTGGTTTAAAACCCATTGTTTCTTGTACCGGTATACCGACGATTATTTTCAAAACTCAGTTGACCTCATTTACTATTTGTAAACAGGAGAAAGGGTCCTTTTCATTTTTTTTTTCTTTATTTATTTTCTGGCTTCCTTGCACTCGCTTTTGTTTGTGTCGATTCATTTTGTTCCTTTTGTTTTGTTTGTTTGTTTGTTTGTTTGCTTCTTTAGTGAGAGCCGCGCATCAAATACCAAAAGTGCAAAACCGCATGACTTTGGAAGTTAAATACTAGAAACAAAATATAATTTTTACTTTTCGCTATAATTACTTCATGGATGACTAAGCTTCAAAGACTCTCGCGTCACACGTCATGTATGAGGTAACGCAAGATCGTCATTTTGTCAGCCCAAGGCCGCACCACTCTCCAAAAATGAATGCTCTGACCAATGACAATGTGGTAACCCTTGGAAGTCTCCTGGCTCAAGATTTGCCCCAGGCCTACATCCTTCCTGAACGACCATCAACATTCAACCACAAAGCAAGTTTCGTAAATAGTAGGAGTTACCTCATCCATGACTATTCTACAGACATGACCGCTGACCATAGATACCTGAAGGCTATGAGAGCGTGCGCTGTGGCTGGGAACGATCTTCCAATTTTACTGACATGCGCTGTGCATCCGCTTATTACCGAGGTGAGGCAACTCTGTATCGATCTATTATAAAACACTTGGATAAGAATTTAAAAAGCAACTTGTGCCAAAGAAACAGGAAGCGACAAGATGGCGGCGCACAGACGCCTCTTTGAAATCTTAGTTCGCGTTGGAATTTTAAAAAATTTACAAATGAAATTAACACTGAGGTTTTGGTAAATAATATCCTGTAAACGCTTTTCATCCTAACATCAGCATGCATATTCTCCATACTGTTCGTTACAAATTTACTGCGGCATTGATAAAGAACTGTGAAATGTTCAGCAGGCAACCGTGGACGATACTCTTACTCTTGTACGTCGGATCAGCGATGATCTGATTGGCCCAATGGACCGAATATGAAATATAAATATGGAGGCAAGACCGATACAATGTAGATAAGTAAATTTTAAGACGGAGCACTATATTTCGGCTGGCCAAACCAGCCTTCTTCAGGTGCAGTGGGAATTAACAGAGAATTGGGGTGATGCTTCATAGATAGCTGTATGATGTAACAGCGGAAATATGTAAAACTAATTTGATTGACAATGAGATAACAATAAAAATAGAAATAGTGACTAAAAATGGAGATGAAGTAAGGTAAATTGGATAAATAACTGGAAACTGATACATTTCTTCGCGAGCGTTGAGGCCATCTGGATAAATAGTGTTGCCTCTTGAAATTAAAAAAGCTTCCCTGGCCTTGCGTATCGAGTCTCTCTTGGAAAACACTTTTTCGATGGCGATTAGCTCGATGTCGTGAGCAGAGTGGTTAGGAGAGGAAATGAAGTGTTCTGCCGCTGTAGTAGGTCTAGATTTAGAGTTAGGTTTATCAATGGTACGGCGGTGTTCATTGAAACGGTCTTTTAAACGTCGTTTAGTTTCTCCTATGTATTGTAAGTTACAGCGGTTACACTGAATTAAGTAGGTAAGGTTTTTAGTGTCACAGGTCAAGTGAGATTTAATGGGACGTGTTTCGCCGGTAGAAAAAAAGGTATAGTTAGTAAGACCGGCAGAGATGTAGGGGCAAGTAGCGTAGTTTCTACCACAACGGAAAGAGCCGGGGGGGAGTTGAGGATGGGAAGTGGTAGAATTAGAGGGGAGTTTGGCTGTTACTAATGTGTCGCGAAGGTTGGGGGAGCGTCTGAAGGCGACAACTGGCAGCTGAGGAAAAGCTTTTTTGCAGCGGTTAGAAGACTGCAGTAGATGCCAGTGTTTTTTGATGATGTTGGAGATGTGAGGAAGCGACGGATTAAAAGTAGTTATAAATGGAATACGGTTAGGTTTTTTTACGTCTTTAGTTTGTAAGGTGAGTGTGCGGGAGATGTCTGCGGCGCGTTGTATTTGATTGGTGACCAATTTATGGCTGTAACCTCGTTTGAGAAGATATGAGGTAAGTTGAGCGGCGCGAGTCTCAAAAGCTTTATCTGTAGAACAGATACGTCGTAGGCGGAGTGCTAGACTGAACGGAATGGCTTTTTTGGTATGTAATGGATGGAAAGAAGAGTGCAATAGATACCAAACAAATACAACGCGCCGCTGACTTCTCCCGCACACTCACCTTACAAACTAAAGACGTAAAAAAACCTAACCGTATTCCATTTATAACTTCTTTTAATCAGTCGCTTCCTCACATCTCCAACATCATCAAGAAACACTGGCATCTACTGCAGTCTTCTAACCGCTGCAAAAAAGCTTTTCCTCAGCTGCCAGTTGTCGCCTTCAGACGCTCCCCCAACCCTCGCGACACATTAGTAACAGCCAAACTCTCCTCTAATTCTACCACTTCCCATCCTCAACTCCCCCCCGGCTCTTTCCGTTGTGGTAGAAACTACGCTACTTGCCCCTACATCTCTGACGGTCTTACTAACTATACCTTTTTTTCTACCGGCGAAACACGTCCCATTAAATCTCACTTGACCTGTGACACTAAAAACCTTACCTACTTAATTCAGTGTAACCGCTGTAACTTACAATACATAGGAGAAACTAAACGACGTTTAAAAGACCGTTTTAATGAACACCGCCGTACCATTGATAAACCTAACTCTAAATCTAGACCTACTACAGCGGCAGAACACTTCATTTCCTCTCCTAACCACTCTGCTCACGACATCGAGCTAATCGCCATCGAAAAAGTGTTTTCCAAGAGAGACTCGATACGCAAGGCCAGGGAAGCTTTTTTAATTTCGAGAGGCAACACTATTTATCCAGATGGCCTTAACGCTCGCGAAGAAATGTATTAGTTTCTAGTTATTTATCCAATTTACCTTACTTCATTTCTATTTTTGCTCACTATTTCTATTTTTATTGTTATCTCATTGTCAATCAAATTAGTTTTACWTATTTCCGCTGTTACATCATACAGCTATCTATGAAGCATCACCCCAATTCTCTGTTAATTCCCACTGCACCTGAAGAAGGCTGGTTTGGCCAGCCGAAATATAGTGCTCCGTCTTAAAATTTACTTATCTACGTTGTCTCGGTCTTGCCTCTATATTTATATTGATAAAGAGAATTTAGTAAAGATCAAGAGCTTTTTGAGCTTTTACGATCATTTCTCTAATTCTCACGAGCTTCATGTTTGAATCAGCAGTGATAACCTAAAGAGAAACTAGATGTTAATCACTCTCAGGGGTTCAAGGGTTAAGCCGCTGTTCGGGAACCGGAGCCCGCGCTCCTTCCCGAATAGCCGTTTCTTCTCGGGGGAGGAACGAGAAAGACCGGACCCGAGAGAGCGGCTAGAATACTAGCGAGGATTTTTTTTTTGTCAATTACTGAATGGAGTTACTCCAGGGGCAGACTGACGACATTAACGAAGAATCTCTCTGTTTGTGCATTTAAGTTTCTTTTTTCTTTCAGCATTGGTCCAAGTGGCTGCCTTTCCTTCCGAGACCCGATATTAGAATTTTCGAAAATGAAGATACTGAAAAGCGGCCTTTGGTTGTCAATTTTCCATTTGAAAATTTTCCCGCCGAAAAACACGCCGTGGATCCCGATATCCACTACATTCTCAGCTCCAAGACGAGAATTCCAGAAATGGGAGCACCCTGCCCTCGGTACATGTCACGTGACAACTACACGGTACCTTGTATGATCAAAACCACCCAAGGGGTAGGGGGTAGGGGTGTGTTTCTTGCCAGATCACATGATCAAGCCCTGGAAGCCTTTCTTGAACTTAAAAATAATTTCCACTGCTATGAACCAGTCATCACTGAAGCAGTTGAAAACGTTACCGACTTTTTGAATGTCCAACTGTACCTTTTCCAAAATGGCGACTTTCACTGGTTGGGCGTCCGACGAAAGATGAAGGAAAAATCGTCCTGCCAACACGATTTGGTCCCCGATGTTGATTGGAACGAGCAAGAGGACCAAAAAAATCTGGTTTGGGATGTTGTCAAACCGGTAATGGCATACCTTAATAAACATGGCTACTTCGGTTTTACAGGGGTTGAAATCTTAATCAACAATCGAGGCAAGTTCTTAATCGATGTCAATCTCAAGACTTCAGATTCGACATATTTATTGCTGTTAGCGCCTCACTTTGCGGCGAATTTAAACTTTCCTGTCTCCATTGTGGCTGAAATTCTTCCAACAAGTATCGAAGCATTGCTTGAGCAGATAGACAAGTTGAATTGTGAAGATGAAGGCAGAGCGATACTGCTGTCGGGAGATGTAACATCGCTTAGTAAGCCAATCAAGTCTTGCATTGTTGTGTTTGCCAAGGACCAGCATACAGTATTTCTGTTGCATAGAAGACTTCTTCGTTCGTGCGCATCGCTCATTTGTAATGGTGCAGGCGATCACGATGGAGATAGGATTTCAAATACAAGAGTTTTGCTAAAATGATAAACATTGTTCTTGGGGAAAATGAAAGAGGACATTCTTCTTTCAAAATTAATGACGTTTTGGACTGTTCGTGTTTTGAAAGGAGTCATCCTTTTGGCACAGTTTTATTTTTCTTTATAGCAACATAAAAATCGGCACAATGTGGTTTACAAAATAAATAAAATTGCAAAGCTTCTAGAATTAAAGTTGTCTTATTAAGCATGAATTGTCGCAGTAGATACTATAACAGAAAATTTGAAGATTTTGAATTCATTAAGGGGCCGACCATTTAACTTTTGAGGGGAGGGGTGGGTGATTTCTGGTCATCAAGAAATTTTTTCTAGCAATCTGCTGTGCAGGATATTTTACCGTTCTAAATGCTCTTTTTTTTCTGTTACATTTGGGCTGCATGCAATTTTTTTCTTCCAACAAGCGCTTGCAGGAAAGTTTTTTTCAAAATCACCCACCCCCCCTCAAGAGTTAAATGGTCGGCCCCTAAGAAGATAAAAAAGGACACCCTCGTTACTAAGCAACCAATCACATCCTCGGCATTCTCCAACTGAAGACGAGTCAATTCATTATTAAGTGAAGTAGTGCATTGTAGTCGACTGTGCGCGAAAGTACAATTTAATCATCTCGTGGTAATTAACGCAAATTTTTGATTTGCTAAAAGCAAGCAAGCCAACATCATTTATTAATTTGTGATTTGTAATGCACTTCAAATATAATCCGCGTGCAAGGTTCTCTTGTCAACCACACAAAGATTAATGAAAAGTTAAGCTTAAGGGGGGGATAAGTTTCTAGAGATACTATTGTGCTGCCCCGTTGGGGGGTATTGCAAGATAATTTGGTTTTATTACTAAACCGAGTCCATAATGTAAATTGGCTGCCATGACGAGTTCCTAAAGCTCACGTTTCGATCGTCAGCCTTCGTCAGAAAGATTAGGAGCAATCGTATGAAGGTTTATGGATAAAATGTATATTTACGCGTTGATCTGCTTAGGACATTTGAAATTTGTTGATAAATTGCTCCCCTAAAATCATCAGGAGAAAATAAAAAAAAATTAAACTCAGTAGTTGCCTGCGAGGCTGGAGTCTTTTTGTTTGATTTGGAGCGTGGAATTGCGAAGCAGGAAAACCTAGCTGTGAAGTGGTAGAACGCTTGTTCATAGTTACGTTCATAGTGCCTGTACGTTCATAGTGCCTGTAGTTTCATTTTTATCAAGGGCCCAGATAACCCGTCAGCAACATAGGGTACTCTGTCAGCAGTGTAGATCCTTACGTGCAATGGTTAACAACATCTGAATCTCCTACTGCTGAGGAATTACTTTCGGTCGGATAAATCTAACTGACAGGAATTAAAAAAAAAAAGATTACCGGTTAAAAACCTCTATTTAACTAATATTCGTAATACTTAAGCTGGTGCTGATTTAAAATTTCAATCTCATTCTGGTCGCTAGCAAACCGAAGGGTGGAATTTGAAAGGTGTTGAAAAAACTACAGTGTTTTCTGAACGGTAGTCTTATATGAAGACATCAAGATGACGATCTTTGCCTGAGACGTACTGAAAAGATTGGCATTTCCACACCATGTCGAGGTTTCATTTAGATTACAGCTTCATGTATCTGACAACATAAGGTAAGGTAAGAGTTATTGAATTGTTCCTAAGCGAATTGTTTCTGTCGAATCTGTTGTGGTTTGCACATCAAAATGGCGATGGTTGCCCAGGACGGACTTAAACGAGTGACGTTTCTACACCATGTCGAGGTTTCATTAGGATTACAGCTGCTTGTATCTGACAACATCTAAGGGTTATTGAATTGTTTCTAGGCAATGAAAAGTCATAAGGGAATGATCTCTAAGGGTCTTTTTATTAGCCCAACTGCGCCGCTGAGAAATTATTATAATTCAAGACATGCTTTTCAAAACCTGCATAAGGAAAGCTGTGACAGCCTTGATTGACTTGAATTTAGAGTTTCGATTTTAAATTAAGAGGAATGAAGTTTTTCTCAGCTTCTTGACACGTTTTAGTCCTGCCAGAGCTGAAACGATCAGAATTCGCTTCGGAAGCGCTTCTGTAAAACAATGTTACATTGCTAACGCAAAAGTCCCCTTGGTTCAGTGACGCAAAATTAATCAACTAAAAGAAGAAAGCAAGTAAGTAGAATCATAAAATATTCAACATGATTTGGTCGCGAATAAATCTTGATATTTCAAAGTGTTCGATAGCTCAGTAAAGGATCTAGCTATATTGAAATAAAAATTGCCGGCATTTACTAAAAAAATTTTCAGTTTTACTTTCTGAAAAGCTTCTCAGTATCTTGAAATTTTGAGGCGAAGTGTACGAAAATAAGTACACCGACAGTAATTGCAAGGGAGGCAGTTCTTTCAAGTGTGAAAAAATAAGGTGAGATGACATGAGGCAATAATTTGAGGGCAAGTTTAGCCACAGACTTAAGTGCGAAGACTTGGGTGTGACAAGATTTCAACTGAGTCGATTTCTTAGCTCAATGATCTGATCGCCCTAGTTTGGTCAGCCAACCGCAACCAACACCAGATTAGATGATATGTGATTTAGATTTGATTTTTAATAATTTTAGACTGACCAGTCTTTGGCTGATCGATGAGTACGAGACAACTCGGGTTTTAAACTAGACTTAAATTTTCTGGCGTATTAATATTGAACAAGACAGGTGACAAAAGTTAGGTTTGATAATTCCTTTGAGGTAAGAGATCTCTTGTATGAGACCGCCTTGAGTTTTATGGGTAAAATATTAATTTTGATTAAGATTTTAAATGTTAGCGATTTTTTTCTCGTGAAAATCAGCGCTTAGGGCAAAAATTTATATTATTCATTTGTGATAAATGCATAACTAACAGCAAACAGACGAAATGGTACAAAAAAGATAATTTAAGTGGTTTAGTTTAGTAACACTATAGCTCTGTTCTACCACAAGAATAGTCATGAGGTGAAACACTGCCGCCAACAGAGCTAGTCGACAAAACCCACCCCAGTGGACCCTGGCTATTGATTAAAACCCTTTTCGGGTACAATTCAGACAATATAACACTGAATCTTATTTAGCCTGTCTGGTGCAAAACAACTCACTGGTTGCCAAAAACATTTCTCTCTTCCCTTTTCAGTAGCAAAAATGTTTCATAAAAGCATTTATGATCTACAGTGTCTGAAAGAGGACACCATCACTTTTCCCTTTTTAACAATGTAAGTTCCAAAACACTTGAAGTCTGGATATGCCTTCAAGTCTCGTTAGGTGACAGCTTTTTAAATTCAATACAGAATGCATCCAGCTGATGGTATTGTTCACAATAAATTTTAATCATTGTCGTTGATTTCCTGCTTTTAAGAAAGCCTCCGTTTTAAAAGGAGAATTGAAGCTAATATGTTCAGCTGGTTTGCTCAGTTTTTTCCTCTTGAAGTATCTACCTCTTAGCTATATTGATCGATAAATAGGTCTTTATTTAGCGAAAAAAAATTAGTCAGTGGCAAAGCATTTGGACTGGCGTGTTTTTAAACAGGGACATGTACGATGTAGCAGCTACAAAGCTACCGACCTGACTTATTCTTAGCAAGCTTATCAGGAGATAATTTCAACCTTTTTCTATTTGAGAGAGTGCTCTCAAAATATTCATGGTCTATCATTAAGTCCATTAATAGTCTCGATCAAATGCAGGGGTCCCTCTACTATTGATGAGCGGCTTTTTGGAGTCTTTTGAGTCATTTCCGCCGGCATAAAGTTGAACAGCTTGCAAACATTCTAAACTTCAATTATGTGAAAAACGAAAATTTATACTTCTCTTAAGATGGCATTTTCGAGGAAAACACTGAAACTAGCTTTGAAACTTGGAAACCTATATATTTACTTATCATTTCCTTTCTTACCTTTTGGCTTGAAAAAGTGTTGATATTGTCTAAAGAAATTCCTCTATCGTCACGAGTGAAACGGTTAAAGAGTTTGTGCGGTGATAGGGGGAAAAAGCTGATTCAAAGTTGTTTCCTCGAACAATAAGATCGTCATAGGTGATAGAAAAATTCGGGAAAATCTGGGAGAAAAACAAAACGTTCACTATACATTCGTATACAACAGGAAAAAATTTGAAATTAAAGTGCATGTGACTTTCAACCGATACAACGTCGGAGCGACGGACTGGACCAAAAGCTGATCCGGATCAATCACATCTTCTTTCAACACCATCTCAGCGGAACTCGGCGCAGAAAAATCGTTTATGCAGCTGAGAATAATGATGGCGACAATCATACTGATAAAGCGCAAATTTAAACATGAAAGTCTGCTAAAAAAAGTTGGAATGGATCGCTGATTAGCTGCAATTATTGGACTGACATCCCTGTAAATTCTTGAGTTTAGTTAGAATGGCATATAACTGAAACAAGTTAACTTTTTTCATAAAACTTGAAGATAGATAAACTTGTGTATTTTTTTTCTTTTGTATTGTTTTTTTTTTCAAATTTTTGTTGTAAAAAATGAATTCAAGCTGAGCCTTTGTGCAAGTAATTGTGTTACACTCAGCTGGGGTTCTGAGTCAGCTCAAGTTACATGCGTTTCCAGGCAATCAATATTTGAACTGAAGGCAAAAAACTTCACATGAATGACTGCTGTCATAGAGCAAGCTGTTTCTTTTGAGACGACGCTACTGTGACAAACAGCTTCCAGCGCAACATTAATTATCGATCTTCCTCTCTAGGCAGATTCTCTACAGACTGACGTTGACATCTCGAACGAGTAAAGAAAACTGCACTCAGAAATTCAGCATACAGATTAACTGCATGTAAGTTTAATAGTAATAGGTACGCATGAAGCTGGTTTTGAGTTATCGAAAAAAATTGAGAGCTCGAAAAAGTGTAGTAATCCATAATGCATGATTATTCGGCTTGCATTTTACGAAATTATAAAAACCTTGTGAGACGAAAACTAGACATAGCTAATATCAGACTAGTACCCGAGGGACATCTAATGCGATGTTCGAAAAATTAACTGAATGGCCCCCCGAGGAGGTCCTTGTCCAAGCAAATTATATTTCTTCCCTAATGGGTCATGGCGAGGACAAAGAGGAAAAGATTCGCTTTGCTGAATAGAAACTGCGTAAAATTCTTATGCAAATACGGTTACCTAAAAGACGAATAATTTATCCAAAAAAACATATCGCCAAATCGCTTTGCGAATCGTGCTATATCTGTTTTCGCGTGCAATTTAACGCGGAATTTCCTCGTCAGGTGATGAATTTTCCTATAGAATAATATGCTAAAATATC